TATATATATATATATATATATATATATATAACAAACAAAATAAATATTATATTCGTTATATTTACTTCACAATTATTATGTAGGTAAATTGATTTTTTTTTTATAGAAAAAATTTCAAAACGCATTTCACTGTACCATACTTTTCTTCTTCAATCCAAATTTGCAAATCTTAAACCTCCCAAACCCTCCAATAAAGAGCAATTTCTCACAATTTGTGATTTCTACAATGACATTGAGTTCATTCTCAACAACCACCTTTTTTATGAGGTTGTCATCTATCATCACCTTAGCATAGAGGACTTCGACCTCACGCTTGACTAGTTTCTCATTATTCAAGAGTTCATGTGCAGTTAAAGTGTCCACCACTCTGTTAACACAATCCCTATTACCACCTCCTATAAGACTAAGAAAAATTGTGTCAATACATCAAGATTATTATTACCTATTATGAATATTGCCATAATGATAAGCAGGACACCTCATTAAAATTATTGATCTAGCTTTGCTATCAACAACAAGCAAGACATGATATTTTATAACCTAAAGAAAATATGCTTGAAGAGTATGATAAAGTAATAACAATTAAATATATTTTGAAGTTTTGTCTAAAAAAATATTAAAATCAAATTATATATGTGATAATAATAAAATAAAATATAATGAATATAATATATAGTCTATTTGACATATAAGAGTTTTTTTATAGCATAAATGAACAACAAAAAATATTTTTAAAATATTATAAAAGGTTAAAAATAAAAGAACAATAAAAAATTACAAGGATTAAACCACATAAATTAACAACTTTCGATATTTTTCCTCGCTCTTTAATTATTGTAAATCCTCGTCCCAAAAGAATTCCCCTTCGAGGATCCCTTAAAAATTAGTGCATTGTGTTATTTAAGATGAACGAGCTAGATGTACTCTCTTTACTTTTTAGAAATTTATTGTTTTTAAAGCATAAGAATTTGGGTTTGTCACTTTGTTGGACCTGATGATAGAATTATCAAATGGGTTACCCAGCCTAGCTTTTATGGGCCAACATGTATATGTGGGCTAGTTTGATTTAGCCTAATTTTCCTATTACACCTATTTTGTAGTTTAAGACTTATTGTTAGGCCAGACTAAATTAACTTATTTTATTTTATTTATATTTTATTTAAATTTTATTAAAAATATAAATAAAAAAAAACAATGAATCAAATAGATTTAGTAGTTAGAGTTTAAAAATTAGTGGTCCAATTGTCTCATTAAGCTAAAAAAAAAAAAATACTACTTTTTTCGAAATCTTGACTGAATATTTTTGACACCTCTAATCAATAAATTGAAATAAAAAATGACAGTTGATTGAATATGTGTAGTGAGCGAGGAATTTTGAAAATCCCACATGTTTAGAGTGATTTTAAATTCTTTAATTTTGGATATTAAAACACCCCATAAAAATGCTTCTTATTCAAATACAATACTTCTTGTGTTAGGCATTTAAAATTTCCTTAAAAATTACATTTTCTTCTAAAAATATTTTTATCCAGACACGTGGTAGTTTAGAGGATTTGCCTATGTTTATGGATCCTTCCTCATTTTTAATAGGAATATATTTTTAAGAGAAATGTCAGTAAAACAGCATGAAAGCTGTACCATCAAGCAACGAAACTTGATTCTCATCATTTTCAGTCTTTTAAATGTTGTTAGCTTTTATGGTAAAAACAAACCACTAAAGTATAAACATAAACCCAATTGACTTTGGAAACAAGCTAAATTTGGTTGCACTTCACTGCATATACTTAAAAATAGTAAATAGGATCAATATATCATTACTTGATCAGTTGCATCTTAGTACTTATAACATATATGATATACAAACATAATGCGTACGATTAACCCTTTTTCATAATTAAGATTATTAAGCAGCTACTGCTCCTAGGTCATGAAGTTGAACATGTGCTCACTTTTATTTCTGGCAAAGCATAAAGATCATAGCACGTGCCACGTTCCAAAATTCTCTATACATTTACATAAACAAGTGAAGAGAGATCTCAGAATCTGTAGAGTATTTGATTTTTGGAGCCATACCCTAAGAACACATATTGCAGATTGTAGATTGTAGGATTTTCGAGGAAAATAGTTCTTTAGTTTCACGGGAAAGTCAAAGGGGTTGTCAGTTGCTGAAGTGTTACTTGACACTCTAAACCTGCAAAAGCCTTTCCACTTGATACCAAATGTTGGTTTGTCTCTCAAAAGACAAGTTCTCCACCTTATTCACCTTTCACTTTTGTTCCCTTGTTCAACTATTCAACCTCAGAATCATTGCCACTTAAGTTTCTTTATTTCCACTAGGCAAAAACATGGCCATTTAATAATTAAGATATTTTATTTTTACCACTCAACTTTTTTTCTTCGATAAGGATTATTCTCCTACTAATAGACACATACAGATTAAGTGCATGCTTCATTTCATGACTTGATTTTTCATGTTCAAACACATTATAATTCCCTTTTAAGCATATAGATTTTAGAAGTGAATTTTGTTTTTTACAACAATTTTTTTTCTCATATATACGACCGGAAAGTCAAACTTTTTTTAACATGTATAAAAAACTAGACTAGACTTTGTTAAAATTTTATTACACAACAATGATATTATAATATTTTAGTATCTTGCTTTTTATTATTATTGTTTTTTGTATAAAAATATTTTTTTTTGAAGTATGGGTATTTCCTGACAAAAAGAAATTAAAGGGTAATTTTTAAGTATTGAAATTGATTCAAAGATTGGAATTTTTTTAATTTTTATTTTCAAAACATTAAGCAAACTTAAAAATTAAACTTTTGCTTATATGATTAAGCAACATAATTACCTATTAATCATATTACATCACGCAATTATAAGGCATATTAATCATATTACATCACGCAGTTATAATCATTTGAATCATTATTTTAGACACTTGCATCAACTAATGAATCAATTTCATGATCATGTATATGAATAGAATAGTAGTATGCCTTGTTTTGGAAATACATTATTGGATTTTCTTGATCATAAATATTTATAAAAAATCAAGTTAATTCTTATCATCATGTCGTTTTACAATATATATTCATTCGTTTATACTTAGCTCTAGTGTTTTTTTATTTTATTTTCATATTATATTTTAAATATCAATAATTAAAAATAAGTTTCAATTATATATAGTGTAAATTTTTTATTATAAATTTCATATATAATTTATATGTAAAAATATTTTATTAATTATAACTTATATCTATATAAAATAAACATATAAAATACTAGTATTAATATATTTGTGTATTAAAATAATATTAATAAACTCAAGTAAAAATAATTTCTTTTATATTTTCATAAATAAAACTTTACTTCTTCATATGAACTATTCAATTGACTCAATTTAGTAGAGGGAAAAATGGTGATTACAAATACAATATAAGAAATAAAAAGAGTACTCTTTAATATTAGTAGTAATATTTAATATTCCTTTCAACCATCTTAACAAAGAAAAAAGGGATGCTCTTTTTTTTTTCTCTCTCTCTTAATTATAAGAATTATAAACCTACTTTAAAATATATTAATCATTAATTTTTTTTCAACTTTTATTTGTTGTGAAAACTACTAACAAGACGATTACTTATTTTTCATACAAGTTAATACATTTATTCATTTATTAATAATACAAGCTACAGTAATCAAATTAGGTATAATATCATTATATTTAATTATTATTTAAATCATTTAATTTAAAGAGTGTTTTTGAAATAACATTTAAATTTATGGCAACTAAAATTAATAGCCTTGAGTATTGTTATTATTATAGATGGATTAGTGTTTAGGATCCACCTGGTAATAGGATTTGTACTTGGGAAGAAGTTTTAAGTTTGAATTATTATTATTATTTTTAATTATAAAAAAGCATAAAAGATGGAGTAATTATTTCATCAAAACGATGTCGTACAGGCTTGTTCCTCTCCATTTGTCTATCTTAAATAGGATTGCTATGCGCTCGTTCTTCCCTTCTTTCCTCTTGTCCTCCCAGCTTCGTTGATTTCTTCGTTTGAAGGATACCCTTAAAGGTCTCTCTCTCTTGTTAGTTAGCAACTTATCTCTACATTGATATGTTCATTGTTATCGTTGTTTTTTTATTTTTAGCACTCTGTTTTGGAGATCTATTCTATGAAACCTACCCCTTTTCATTTGTGACTGGTAGCTGTTTGTAAGATGGAGATAGTGATTATAGCTGTTTAACTTAAACACAAGTTTGCTGTTTTATGTATCTTACCTTGGCCCTTCTTTACCCACCCATAACGAAGAAAATTAGTGAACATTTTTCATGTTTTGCACTCAGATCTGCTCTGCTGTTTCCTGTTGATCTGTGTACCTGATTCCACCCCCTTTATTTAGGTAGTACATTATGGGGAAAATGGTGAAATGGGCTGTGGAATTTCTTTTTCAAGTTAAGATTTTTGTTTTTTTTTTCTCTCCCTATTTTGATGCATTGAATTGATCTGGCTGAATGGATCTGTTAGCAACTTGGATGTGTGCTCTCATTCCCTCTGTAAATAGTTGGGGTTTCAGTGAATAAAATCAAGTTCCACATTCTGTTATATTTTGTTAATTTGTTTACATTTCCTGAATACTTTTTTTTTTGTTGCTTTGTCTAGGTCTTCTATTTTGGAAGTTACCTGATTTTGAAGATGAATTGTTATAATCTTCAGAAGAATGCTTTCTCATCTTGTGAAGAGAGGAGAGGCTCTCTTCCCATTGCTGATCAGAATGGACCTGTCATTTGCCCTAAGCCACGTCGAGCTGGGGTTTTAATGAATCTGCCTATAAGGCCGGTAAAATGGCATGTAAGGTAAGCTTTAAGATTCATTGTTTTCCTTTTTGATGCCATTTTTCTATTTTTGGTGGTAATCAGGATCTGATCTGTTCTGTGTTTTGATCATGTTTATTAGTCATCAAGCTGAGGGTTCTGATTCAAGAGCTGGGGCTGAGCTACTCGACATTGTTCTCAAGAGGGACATTGTTCTCAAGAGGGTAAGTGATGACTCTGTTACAATTTGTTTAGCTTATGTTTTAACCAAGGAGAATAAAGAATTATTAAATGGCATAAGTTTATCTTTCTTAAAAAATTGTTTAGGTCTCTTAGCAATGCATGGAATATGGATTTTTTATTTGATATTGATATGTTGATTTTTATGTGAGAATGCTTGTGATATTTACCAAAATTGCATCTTCAGACTGCCACTTTTTTTATTTGAATGTTTTTGGGCTCCCAGATATGTAGTATTTTAAAAAAAAATTAGCAAGGTTTTACTAAACTGTCCCTAACTTCAATTGTGTCCTCAACTGCAGCCACAATTGCCACATTAGTCATTTAGTCTGCAATTCAAAGTATCAAGAAAAAACTCCAACCGCAATTTAAAACCTTGTTTTTAAATTATTATTATCGATGGATCTGCATGGTCATAGTTTTTGCTGCAATGGATGTTTTCTGACTTTGATCTTAAATTTATTAATTTTATTTTGCTTTCTATAGGAAAATTATGTGGAAGAATTCACAAATTCATCTCCTCCGTATTTATGTGGTTCTCCTCCAGTCCGAGCTGCTAATCCCTTGATCCAGGATGCTCGGTTTGGACACGAAGAGAACACTCTTGTATCAACAATTTCATCACCTTCAGGTTTACTGTCTCCATCTTCAGCATCTCGTAAAGGAGGATGTGCTAGGATGAAGTTTGGACTTAAACCTGCCGCTGTTAGAGTAGAAGGATTTGATTGCCTCGGCAGGGATTGCCAGAATTCCGGCATCCCAGCTGTTGCTTAAACTCCATTCATCTAAGTGTATATAGAAGAAGCCAAGTGTCATTACTTATAAAACGTGACCTAACTAGAGAGAATTTTGAATGTTTTGGAGGGAAGTAAGAAATTCAGTTAGTTGTGTATATAGCAAATGCTTTTTTGTATGGTGAGGTGAATCATCTCATTGTGATTATCCATTACGAGTTTAGGAAGCTGCAGAAAAAGTAAACCTTCTGTTCTTGAGGTTTCTTGTGTAGAGAGCATGTCTTTTTGTAATATAAGGCGGTTGTATCCGAGTGTCTTTTAAAAATTTTAGGCAATCACCGCAGGAATGTTCTGTATAGGAATTGGTGATTTTGGTTATCATTCCTGTAAATATATTTAGGTGACTTTGCAAGTATGTCTATTATATTTAGCTTGTATTTTCTGTTCCCAAATGCTATTTTTTAAGTACTCATTTTTAATTTATCGTCACCAATGTTCATCTTGTATGGAATACTTGTGCTTGGTGTAAAGCTGGTGAAGTATTACAACCAGTACCAACTAGGCAACTACTAGATACATTATTATTGAAGACATTTTCACTTTTCATCCACCCACCTACTCTTGTAAAACCGTGTTGAAACCATGGATTGGGTATTGGGTCGTTTTTGGATCGGTGAGAGTCTTTCAATTTGATCGTTTTCAAAAGAAGGGTTTATAATTATAGGATTGTTGTCCCGTTTTGTTGAATACAATGTGTTAGAGATTTTATATCAATTATGACGAAATGTTATAAGTTGGTTTTATATGATTTAAATTTACATAAACTCTTACAAGTCATTGAATATTAAGTGAAAAATATTTTTTATTTTTTAAGTTAATTTTGTAAAGTTGAATTAGATTAATAATCTGAATTTTTTATAATGGTATCATACCACTTTCTAAGATTATGAATGTCTAAGTCACCAACATAAGATGACAATGTGGAAGAAAAGTGAAGAATAGGTTATTTCATTCAAATGTTTATTTCACATTATTTACTTCATTTTATCTTGCAATATACTCAAGATTTGTCAAAATCTCAGTTAATTATTCTGTTATCATTCCCATTCTTCCTTTCAGGCTTCTCAATCAGATGAACAACATCAATCTATGCCTTTTTACATTAGGTATACTGTACCTTTTTTTTTTTTGGAACTGAGATGAATCTTACCTAATTCATAGTTGAGCCATGTTGAATTTAGATGGCAAATTCTAAATGGTGAGGAACTATTTTCAGCACGTATTTAAAATTAAAATAGGTTTGCAATGTAGATGGCAAGACTTGAAATTAAAATTTATAAGAAAATTGAACTATTTACTACCTGGATTGATTTATGAACATCTTCCATTCGCCTTATCCAAACTAAGGTACAATGCTATATAGGTTTGCATTAAAGTATAAGCCAGCTAATGCATTGAAAATGCAAGGGTCATAGTTAGCTAGGAAGGAAGCTAATGCAAGGGTCATAGTTAGCTAGGAAGGAAGCTTGTATTGTGTCCACAAACTCAATTAATTTGGTATCCAATTTATAACCATCCAAACTAGCCGTGAGATATTCTATCAACCCTCCAAATTAAATTACTTTCAATATGTTTTCAACTTCTAGAGATACCTCCCCAAAAGTTTGAACTATGAACAGCCCTATACCTCCTTCACTCGAGGGATCAAATCACTTTCACCCAAGGAACTTCTCTCTTACTTATAATTAGTTTAAAGGGAAGATAAGTTGGATAAGGAGTGTAAATCAGAATAGGGAGAAGTTAAATATGTCTAATTAAGAGAATGATGAAAGGGAGAGTCTTATTCACCAACTTATGTATTCTAATTTAAATAAGAGAGTAGATCAATTTAACGTACAAATCAACAGTACCAATATAAAAGAAAATGATACGTACATTTGTTAGAATTAAAAAAAAAAAAAAAAAAGGCGTTGAATAAGAGTAAATTTTAAAAAAGTATAGTAATTTTTTAAAAGTAAAAGAGTGCAAGTAAACATATTAGAGCAATACTTAAAAGTTACGACTACCTTTTAAAAAGAAAAATTGGGGGAGAAAATTATTTTTGTTTTATTTTCTCGTTATTTTGATTATTCCATTGAATAAGATATGGATAAAAAAAAAGTATGTGAAAGTCCAAATTTCCACTTCCTCAATTATCTAATGTATGGTCGTGATGATAACGACCCCTTTTTTTTGTAGCTAAGATGATGACAGTGGCTTCACTCAGCAGTCACTGAAGTCCGCAAAACTTATATTAATAATGTTCACAAAGAACAATTTCTTAAAAAATTTCCTCCGCAAAATTTGTTAAAAGAAATTAAACTTGACCACAATTTTAAAATTTGAGAAAGAAGCTAAAGAAATTAGTCTTGTGTCATAAAAAAGTTATACCAGATGACACATTTTAATCTTCTATTGAATAAACTGATTTTTTTTTCTCATTTCTTCCCCAGTTTTTGTTGATTAATGAGTACGTTGGTGGCTTGTACGTTTTGCTGAACGTGTGTTATGTCAAATAAACGAAACTTCTTACCAGTTTCTTTTGCTTATTGCATTCTCTTACACAAATGCTACTATTTAGATACTGTACTAACTGTCGCCACGGTGAAAATTGATTTAAAAAATAGGTAATTATCACCAATATTTATTTTGAAAAAAAATATTGAAAAAACTATAAAATTGAAAGTGCTCAACAAAATTAGATTTTAGTTTTGATCTTCGTCTTAAGACAATTTATCTCTGGTTGTTTAAATAAACTATTTATAACTCTTGAAATTTTTATCTCAACAGATAATATACATGCACTCAAATTAATTATAGCATAAAATGGTACTTTTAATTACTTGATTATAATACATTTATTTTATTTTAATCATGAGTCAATTTCTTATTTTTTATTTTTGAAGGACTAAACATAAGTTATTCCATGCTCTTACACGTCTCCTCGTATAATGAATAATCAAAGTTTACATAAATCTTTTGTAGAAAATTTAAAATTGTGTATGTTGATATTTTTTTTAATGAAATGTAACATTTTAGAACTATCACCATCCATACGTTCTAATTTACAAGATTGACAAAGGTGTATATCAAAAGACTATTTATTAGAATTTTTTTTCCTTGTTTAAATGTCTAATTTTATGGTGTAAAAATTTAATTTTGGTTCAATATTTTTGTTTAGAAAAAAAAGTTTAAAGACATCAAACAATCTTAATTTTCATCTCAAAACTCAAAGATTAAGAAGATCTCAAATCTAATTAATCATTTTCTAATAAAAAATTTGTTACACTAATGTTAAAATATTTATTAAGTATTATATTACTATTATTATATTATTATTTATATAATTAATTTTACACCTTTAATTCAAAAATGAATTTAAGACAACAAATTGTCTTAATTTGTATTTTTTAAGTTCTTGGATTAAGAGAATGTTACATTCAAATAACCATTTCTCTGTCAAATATTACTTAATTGATTTTAAATATTTCAATTTCATTTTAATTAGATCTTATAATTTATAAAAATACTTTATTTTAAAAGTTTTTAGAACTATTAGGTAATTACAATCTGTATCTTAAAAATTGTAGAGATCAAAAAGATATAACGTCTTTTTTATTAAAATGTTTTATTTTTATTTTGTTAATATTAGTTTAATTATAAATACTTAATTTTTTTAAATTTGTGAAATAGTTTATTTTTAAGAATTTAGAGGTATGAAGCTGTCACAATTTTTACCATAAAATGATTTGGATCTCTCCCAATATTGATGAGGACTTGGCGATTTTAATGTACGTCTATTTCTATAGACTTTTCTTTGATGAAATTTTTTTTAAAGATTTTTTTAATTTTTTATGTAATTCATTTTGTATTTATCATATTTATTTATAAATTAAATTTTAATATTTTTAAAATAAATTATCAATAAATAAAAATAACATTATATTAATATAATATTATTTATCATAAATCTAAAATATAATTTATGTTTTAACTATTTATTTATACAAATTTTAACTATAATTTATATATCCAAACATAATATTTATTTATCCATATATAATTTATAATAAATTTTAGTTAAATATTTAACTTTTATATTATATAATTTAAAATACTAGTTATATGTAATAAAGATTATATTTCTCTCAACCCCTTAATCATACCATGTTATTTAGTAATGTGATCAAACGTCCAAGTTCAAGAGGGAATTAGAGAATGGCTAGACTTCAGATTAATTATCAGCCAATGATCGGACTCTGACAAATATAGGGATTTTGGTTGTTCAAGAAAAAATGGTTTAGTTTGATAGTAACAAAGAGAGCTTGATAAAATCCAACTGTATTTGGCTTTATTTACTTCATGTCAAAGTTACAGCTATTAGTTAGTGAACAACTTTTTCTACATTGGCCTACCAAGATGCATCTCAACTATTGCCAAGAAACTTTGCGCATTTGTTTTCGTAGTGTTGGATGATGGATAGTTTATATCCTTTAACTAAGTACTCGATTTTACCATTACCATTCATGTGGATTTGAATTCAGGATAAAACTTGCATGCAATATTATAGATGTTGTTGATACTGTTTTCTATACATAATTTCTTGGCTTTGCAATCGCTTTAAGAAACAAAAATAATTCAAAATATAGTTTTAATTTCGAACGCATCGAGTCCCTTTGTTAGTTAAATTTGGCATAAATTTCAACCCACAGATGATGCGTTCCAAAGCAATTAGGAGATGAAGCAAATTGTTTATTCATTTGTTCTCATCCATTCATCTGCATTTGGAAATCCAAATACAAAAACCAAAAACACAAGATGACATTTCCCATTCGAAAGGTAAAACAAAGGGGGAAAAAGGTTCTTACAAAAGTAAAAATGTAACAAACCAATCCCAACAAAAGGGGTGGCTAGAAATGGCTCTTGTAGTAAAAGTCAAGTTTAGAAGCCTGGTGGCTTGTAGGCAATGAAACTGATGCATTGCACTTGGCGAACATTGTCAAATCCAATGATCCGAACGAAAGAGTTGGGGTATTCCTTAACAGCCTCATCAACCTCCTTCAACACCTGAGCAGGGTCAGTGCACCCAAACATGGGAAGCTTCCACATGGTCCAGTACCTTCCATCATAGTATCCTGGTGACCTGTGGTTCTCACGGTACACAAAGCCATGCTACACAGATACACCAAATGTAACCCTCAAGAACCATAACATAACCATGCAAAACAAGAAAAAAACCAAAAGGGTTGCATTGCAACTGAATTCACCTCCAACTCGAATTCCAAGCAAGGAATATCCATCCATTCCTAAGAAGGTAATCTACTTCCTTCAACAATTGCTCTCGTGAGAGTGGTGGCAAGTAGGATAGAGTCTCGAACTTCTTCTTCCCAAGTGGAGGCCATACCTAGTACAAATATGCATAAATTTAAGTAAGACTATCAAATAAGTATCTCAAAACCCATACCAATAATGATTTCTAGTTGACTAATAATATAAAAGTTCATCTGGTTGGCTGATGGTATAGAAGTTTTTTCACTGACAGTGTATTAAGGTCTTTAAGTAAAAGGGTTAGCATACAAACTTATATATACATTGTGCGTCCATTAGCTATCCATCAATGATTTCCTAGTTGTTGACCATGTAAACGTTTTATCTGATTGGTTGACAATATAAAAGCTTTTACACTGATGATGATGTATGACCATTAAAGTGTCTATTAAGTATATGGGTTAGTTTAACAAACTTATATTTGCATTGTGTGTACTTTAGCCACGGATGACTCCAATGTCATTATGTAGCATTAGAATGCATTTTTAATCATTTTGGAGGTGTGTTACCTGCATGCATTGTACTCTTCCACCGTTGCTTGCAATGGAGGTAATGTCATTGTTGGTTTTTCTAACTGGGAAGCCAGTCATAGACTTGAGGCCAGTAAATGGAGCCACCATGTTGCCCTGTGCCGGAGAGGCACGGTTAACGGTGGTAACAACAGAGGAGGAAATCATAGAGGAGGCCATTTTTCTCTTCCTTTTTCACTACTCACAAACACTGCTAGCTGTTGGAGATGCAAAGCTCTACTCAAACGTTCTACATTTATAATGGTTTTTGTTTGATATGGAGAAACCAAATGACCTCAAATTGAGGGTATGGATTAAATGGTGCCTAATTTCAGCCATTGGATTGTGAAAACTATGTCATTGCATCATATTAGTCACACCAGACTGAAATTTTTTAAATGGTGGCCTTATCGTTGGGGAACATTGTCAGTGCCACGTGGATGGAGTCTCCATAATCTTATCCCCTTTGAGAAAAGAAGGTTAATGTGTGATGGTGGTTATGTTGATTTTTTTTATTTTTTATTTTCTATTTTGAAGTCCCATTGTGTGGTGGCCTCAATGAATTTTGTGACCATCCCTTCTTCAGACATATTTGTCATGTATAGCATGGGTTAAGTTAAAAAGAAAATTTTATACCGTCGTCAAATTATAAATCTCTTGGTGTGTATCATAATATTGTTGATTTTTACAATAAATAATTAAAAAAATTATATCAGTGATGATTTTTTATTAGTTGAGTATGCAAAAGTTTTAAAGACAACCATTAAACTAAATGTTGAATAACCTTTGTTTTCTCCGGGATTTAGCTCTTCAAATTTTCAGGCTCAGAAAAATTTAATGGAAAGAACCATCTCAACTGACAGTCTCTTATCTCTTTTGTTGGGTAGTTTGAGAATGTGTTTCTTTCTTCACTAGTGCATGGGAAAATTCTTTGTACATTTCCCTCTAAAAGCCACAAAGAAAAGTCCGAAGTGGATAAGAAAAATGGAATTAAGCGAGAAGGATTGACTGATTGAACTCCTTACCATTTACATTTAGTTAATTAACAAGCTTATATGTCCAAAACAAGTGAAGAAAACATTTAAGACCCATTAATAATTGATTGATAAACTCTACCAGACCATACATCAAAGACCGAATATGTAAATCATAAAAGAGCCTTATCTTCAAGTAAGTGCATTGCAAGCACAATGTAACACAAAATATGGAAGTCACGTATTTTCCAGCAGCTCTGAGCCACTGACACTGTCTTTCTTTTATTTAATTTAATCTGAAAAAATATGCGACGAACAAAGCCAAGGAAAGGAACAAAAGAAAACTGCAGTGAAATATCACCACTAAGCCGTTTTCTGTAGCATGTCTCGAAGGAAATAATTATTTTTCAAAAATCATCTAAAAATTCGTAAAAACTCGGCCACTATTTCCTCAAAATAAGTTGATATGAATTAAACCGACAAAAATTGCACCTCTAGAAGTCATTAAAATATCAATTAGGCAATGGAGAGAAGTGTTAAGTTTCTTTTATGCTGAGCTGTAGTGGTGTCAGCTAGTAATTGTATTTCTTATTAATCATAGTGTTCGAGTTATCCATATCTCAAAATAAATAAATAAAATCTACAGAATTCTACTTGCATCTTGAATGTTTCAGCATGGTCAAGAAAATATCTAGATAAGATATTTCCCACTTTCTTTTCCCCACATCCCGAATTCTTCCAAAAAGGGCTGCCACCTTTCATTATCCCTTAATATACTCGCAAACAAGCTCTCCCTTCTTCAGCTCCTCTTAAGCCACTGCATTCAACCCAACCAAAACTTAGAAATGAAACTGGAACGTGACATTCTTAAAATATTTAATATATTAGGACTACTTAGCAAAATAAAATCTCAACCGTTAGATATCTGTGTTTTTTAATCTTAGCCTTTGATTACCCAGTATGGACCCTCCAAACTTTGATTAATTGGAGTATGTAAGTTTGCTCAGTAACATGCAGGCTTAGAGACCTTGTGTTGGCGTGACGAACCTATATTATAGTCAGAGTAAATAGATGTATTCCTTATTTTATTAATATATTTAAAAATATTATATTTTAAATTTTTTATTTTATATATTGAATTCTTTAATGATTATTTTTTACATTTATATTTTATTTTATGATGTAAAGAGGTTTGAAGAGATGCATCGGTTGCTTTCTTCTGTGTTTTGCTTTATTTGAACTCTGACAAGATAACTGGGTAGAAATCGCATGGGTACATCAATCATAACTCACAGAAAAATAAGTCTAGCCATAAATTTCCTCATCTCATTCTCCTTGTAAAACCTACTGTGTGCCTCCTTTTAGTTAAGTAATAAATAAATTATACAATTTGACCGGGTTTCATTGTCTTAAAATGGAGTATTATATTGGTCAACAACAAATTCACACTTTACAAAGAGGAAAAAAAAGATGGACATTGCATTTTCACACCACTTGGATGGGGTGGGGAACAAATATAATTTCTTTATTCTTGCAATGACTTTTTTATTATTATTGATGCCTTAATTGGGATGAGCCGGCCAGGTCAAATGGTTAATGAGATTCCGTGCATGACGGACAGCATACATGTAATTGGTACGAATAATAATAATCCAGACAGGTCAAACCTTAAAATTTAAGAGTATTCAGTTGGGTAACTAACTAGTTGAACATACCAAACCTTAATCGTATCTATTGTGCACCTCCATATTGTTCAACTTTCCAAATTTGGTAAGGTTTAGGCAGAAGAAAATAAGGGGTGGTCAGCTTTCACTCAGCCTGTGCTCAACACATTATAACACTTTTTTAGCATACTATAAGGTTTTAAAAGTCCTGTATCGAAAGAAAAAAAAAGGTAAATAGCCAAATTAGTGTCTAAAGAAAATATATATAAAAAAGAGAGATATTTTGACTTGTAAAAACATTGTCATTTAACGCATCTTACATTTGTAATCTCCAAGAATTAAATGGTTAATATTTTGTTTTCTAGGAACCATTATCCTATATATTTATTTTACAAAACAGATAGGGTCTTAAAAAAAATGCTTTAAAAAAATGCACCGAAGCAGCTTTGAGAATTAATGTTCTTGATTGATATTATCAAATGCCAGATTTTCTAAATCTTCTCCAATGGTGATCCTCTTGAAGAACCTAAAACAGAAGGGGCTAACATAAGCAGACAATTTTAGTTTATTTCTCCTCATCTACGTCATAGCTTTGCTATATCCTTCAGTTGCCATAAAGACTCCGAATTTGAATCTGTTGAAAAATAAATAATACTTGCTAATCAACAAATCAAGTAGGTGTTTCATTCAAGAAAATTCACACTGAAATTGCTTTAAGAACTGACACTATGTATTGCTTTTAAAGTAAGGGAGAATGTAAGAGTGAATTTGCAGACCAGAAGTGATTACTTGTGGGAAATGCCAGAGCACTATACAAGTTACAAGAGATGAAACAGTGCAAGAGGCAGCCATTCCGAGTAAGATCAAATTGTTAATTAGATTTATCAAATTAGACTTAATTGCTATAGTATGAATCCAGCACAAGTTAGAGAACCAAGAGAAAAATGATTTGGCAGAAAATAATTTTGTTAAGGGATTTTTTTCAACCTTCCCTTTTCCCTTCATATCAGTACAACCCGATTTAACAAGTCAGTTCACTCCAGTTTCTGGAGGTTAATCAGCCTCATAAACCACCTAAACCGGTTACCATTCTGGTTAGACCCACTAATCCAAACTTGTTTTAATAACACTGCTCTCTCTACGAATATCACATTTGATTTTTAATAAAAAGTTCAGCACATGCTAATAATTTAAGGAAGAGAAAATAATTATTTGTTCAGTACATTAAAAAACCGAGGCTTTTTTTTTTTTGGCTATACATCTAATTTACCTGAATAAAATTTCTCAAAGAACTAAGCACCACAAATTTGATGTAACAACAATTTATTCACCAAAAACTTTTATATTTAGAGTAGTGACATTGGGACTTGACAGCAGCTAGTAGTAGCATTTGATTCCCATTATTTCCTCAAGCAGGATAGAAACATGATTCATATATTCCATTTTCCCATTCTTTCATTTTTTTGGCACATAAGAAGGTGGCCTTTGTTTCAAAGTATTTAATTATATTCCCAACAATGACATTTCCAGGAATACAACATCAAAAATGGTTTACCTGGGTAAATTAAAAAACATGTTTGGTTAAGAAATAAATATTCACGAATATTAAAAAAATCAAATTATGGAAGAAACAAGTTGGATGGAAATGATGTTATTAGCTGGGTTATGAGATAATTTTCATTATTCCTGTGGGAACACGCACCCCTCCCCATCAAAATGAGAATGACGCTTTCTAGGGAATCAATAATGCCCAGAACAGAAAAGTATTTTAAAAATTGTAATGAATAAGGGAATCTCATGTTCCGAAGTTCTCATGCACTGGAACAGCTTTACGAAGATTGAAACAAAAACACCATAAGACATATAACAGTAAAACATGATCACTCAAACAAGTTCTGCCGCGCAATTTATTTCTCAGTTCCATGTTCCAACAAACATCTTATGGAATTTCAGTTATAAAACAATTAATTCAATTAAAAGAAGATATCCAACAGACATAATCAAGTTTTTAGTGCGGATAAAGTACCATTGAGCATGGCCTTCATAGTTCCCCTGTATTTTAGGGATTTAGACTTGGAAACAATATTTTCAGGTGACCTATCTTCATGCAAAAACGATCACCCAAAATTATCCCCAAGATGTAATAAATGCTTAGATTCCTAAGTGGATGGGAAGCTTGATAGATCCATTAAATCAATTATGTAGAAGAAGTACTCCTAATCTCCTATAATATATAATATATGCCAGAGGAAAAAAAACAGAGCATTAGTTGACAATTCTCAACATGAGAACTAACCAAACCTCAAAAAATCCAAAGCCCCAAACCAACGAGTAACAACCCTGCTCCCCACCCCCACTCCTCAAAATTAAATCATAAAATAATTTATAATGAGAGCCTGAGAGGCAAAGAGGAGGGTCATTTTAAATTGAAAATGGAAACAACTATCATCATATCCAATTCTCCACCTAAATATTAGCTCACAAACTAGGGAAAAGGCCACAAGCATTGTTCCTACTAATCCAAATCCTTTCCTCAATAGCATTCTTCATTCACTCAAAAACGGGGAATGGAAATGAAATGACGCAAACATTTGTTCTTGTATTTAAATTTCAAAACGCTACATATGAACAACAATGAAATAGCATGTACTAGTCTTAATTTCTGTTCCAAAGACACTGATCATTCCCATTTCAAACCTCATCCATTTTACTTCCCGTCATGCATCAACTCTTCAAGCGTTTAAAAACAAAAAATAATCATTCAGTTCCAATGAAGGACAGAGCAAATAAACTCAGCACCGTTAACCAATCCACGCCTTATGCTTCAAATTCAGAAAAACACAATCTCAACTAACAACTAATAAGAGAGAGAGAGAGGTTTAGTTTTACAATTGTGAACAGCATGAACTCAACGCGCGATGCTTTGCCACGAGACCGCGGCTTTACGTTTGTTCCTATGCGTCCATGCGTCGCTATTCCTTTTCCAATTCCGAACCTCCAGATTCTCCTCCCCTCTCACCCGCGGCGCCAAGAACGAAGCCCTCGCCGCCGCGACGGCGACACGTGGCAAGCCGAGCGACGAAACCGATTCGGCTTCCGATTTAATATCCCGTGCCTTGGCCTTCGAAGAGAACGCGGACAAGAAAACGTCTCTGGACGAGGTTCCAGCGTGCGGCAGCATCGAGTTGAACGCGAACACGCCGCGAACGCTGGCAGCGGCGGGATCGAGGTGGAGGATTTTGGTCGAAGCGGCGGCGGTAGCGTTGGCAGCGCGGCGGTGGCGGTGGTGGACGCCGTGGAGCCAGCGGACGAGGGCGATGTCGGAGGAGCGGTTGGGGTCGTACTCGATCCTCTCGACGACGCCGAGAGAAGAGGCGGTGTTACGTTTGAGATCGACGGTTCGCTGCAAGCGCTTGGCGCCGCCGCCGCGGTTGAAGGAGGTTATGCGGCCGGAGGAGTTGCGGCCGGCGGTCTTGCCGGATCCGAAGGTGAACTGCCGTAGTGCTCTCTTCACGCCTGACATTCTTCTTCCAACTTCCAGCTAAGTTAGGGTTCCTTTCCTGCTCCTAACGCTTCTTCACTGCTTGCTCGTGTTATTTAGAAATTAGAAATAAAATAATTACACTTTTCTTATAACATAACATTAGGCAAATAATTAAAGTAAAAAAATAAAATTAAATATTAAATTATATTAATCATTATAAATCAAAATATATCGTAAAGTAACATATATATTATATAATAATATAAATGAAATAAAGTGGATTTTTACCATCAACAAGCATTAAAAATTAAAACTAAATTTCAGTATACATAAAATATTAACAATAAAATTGACATTAATCACATACATAATATTATATTATCATTTATAATTTTACTAATAAAAAAACAATTTTGATCAATTTATCATATTTAAGTCAGTAAAATTTTGGGCCAGCCAAATCAAACCAAAATAAGTGTATGTATGAATTTTCAGTTCCTACCTAATTCGCATTCTTTTTTATATCATTTACCTAATTAGTATACTAAACTATTCAAATCAACTATCTAGCTCAACCCTTTTTATTTTTTCTGAACTAACCTCAACCCATTTTTAAAACTTAGTGTTTAGGATAATAACTACAGAAATTTGATTTTTTTTAAGGTGAGATTTAATGTAAAATTGCTACAAAATATTATCATTTTTCTTTTTGAACTAGACTTTTTATAACAGCGCCGAATTATAATATGCATAAATCAACCTACGCGAGTACGCAGGAATTAATTCTCATAAATTATTTTAGTTTAATAAGTCTTTTACCCGATTATATCAAGATTGTCTCTGGTAAAAGACACTTGTAGTATTAAAAAATGATATAAATAGTGCATTTATTAAAAATATGATTTCACTCAATGACTGATTTAAAAGCTCATTTTAATAATAATATTTTTAAAAAATAAATTTACAAGCATGAAGTTTATAAATAGGATATGGCCAGCGTCCATATGCTGATTGACGAATTCATGTTTTCAAATAGATTGAATTATTATAATCATCACTATATTATTTGCATATATTTAAATATGCTAGTTTGTTAGACTTGAAATACATTATTTCACTTATTTATGAAATAGACTTAACCCAGTCTAGATTTTTTAGAAGAAAAAAAAAAGTCTACCTAAGATTTGACACAGGTTAGATCTTAAACTTTCAACAACTAGTCTAACTTATTTTCGTTTTTTTTAGAGACAACACTAATTATTATATTTTTAATCAATTTTTCGTACTGACTTAGCTCATAAATATTTTATATAAAAAGAAATATCACTGTGAACAGAAATACAATATATAATATGCCCTAATGACAATTAAAAAGGCTTAACCATAATAATGAACTCAATTCATCTCAACAAATAAAAAATGAAAGCAGAAAACATTTGACCTCACATCACATGAAAGCATATTTTTGTTTTAGGAATGCAACAAATTTATGTTTGTTTAGTGGATGGACTGGAGGGTTTAGTTTGATCGAAAAAGTTAAAGTAAGAAAGGAGTTGAAAATACAGTTGGTCAGCTTCTTATCTAATAGTGAGATATTTGATTAAATCTCTTCATTTTTATTTGTTAAAATTTAAGATTAAACCTAATTTTTTTTATATTTTATATTTTTTATAAAATTATTGTCAAAAAATAAAATATTTCCACGGAGAGTTATATTGAGAATAAAATAAAGACTTCATAATTTATTAAAAATGATATAATGAACTTTATCTTTGTAAGAAGTTGTGTTTAAAGTATTTTATAAATAAAAAAATGGAATGAGTAATGAAAACATTTTTGGTTAATGATGGGTACTTATGAAGGGGTTTTCTATTAATGAAGCATTGAATTCAATGAACATGGATTGAAAAATGGAGATGGTGGGAGCCACAGCCACAGAGATTAGAAGCGCCCATAGGAGTGGATTGGAAACCAGAAACCAGAAACCAGAAACCAGTGATTGGTTTTTGGGAAAAGCGGTGTTAGGAAGTTAAGAGGAATTAATTAAGAAAGATTGTTCCCAAAAACCAGGAGCTGAGGGAAAAGAAAGATGAGATTCCAAATAAATTGGCAAACTCAATTCTCACATTCCAACCTAATTCACAACCGCCACGCGCTCTCTCTCTCTGCATCATTCACCTTCATATCCTTCCCCAACTCTCCTTTTAAAACAATCTTAATTCTTAACCCTTCCACTACGAATATTTTATATGTTTTTTTTAATTACAACATGATCCATAATTACCCAACACTTTTTTACTTTAAAGTAATAAATTTTGTTGGGATATATTTCTGAATATAGATCACTCATTAAATAAACTATAATATTTATAAAATTTATAATTCTAAATAAATTTTAGTTAATGATAAAAATGTCACTAATATTCTTCTTATTAACAAATATTTAAATTTTGATCCGTTATATTATGAGATGAACTTCTTTGTCTGTCGCTTATACAAATTAAGATAATGAATTTAATTTGTATGCATTAATGTAAGAATTAAGTAAAAGTTATTGATGATATGATATTTAAAATAATTATTATAAAATTTATCATGCATAAAAAATTGTTATTAAATGACAATGGTTTTCTTACACATTATATTTACTATAAGTTTATTCACTTTAATAAAAATATTTTGTTTTTAACATATAATAATTTAAAATAATTTAATGAATTAAATTTATTTATTTCATACTATAAATTATTTTTAAATATAAATAAAATATAATTTATTAATCTCATATTTAATTTTTAAAATTTAATTTTATTGACTTTAAAAATAATTATATTCACTTCAAAATATTTTTTAAAATAAAAATGTTATAGAAAATAATATTTATTTTTTAGTTTATTTTTATATATAATTTTTAAATTTTTTAAATACAAATATGATATATGAAAAATTCTTAATTATTTTATTATTATGGATAATCTTTGAGGTACCGCCAAACAAAATGACATTTTTTGTTTTACCTAGATTTCTTTTCTAACTTTTCTTATATTGATATATGTTTTTAGTTATAAGTTGTTTTTATTTTTAGCACATTGGAGGACATATTTAGGATTTAAGTACACAATTAGAGTTGAAATCAACTTTCATTCTATTGACATATATTCGATAATAACTTTTTTTTGTTTGACAACATTACTCATCGATCTATTAGTATTCGATTTGCACTGTCATTCAACTTAAAGGTAGCCCTTTTCATATTCTAGCTCTCAACAAAAGTATCAAATTATTAGGATTAAACACATGAAGAGAACCAACCCAAAATAAATTTGGTCCATTAGATTGGAGAGTCTCAATGCTAGAGTATCACATTGAGCTTCATATTATAATCAATACGAGACTTCTAACAACACTCTATAATGAATAGTGAGCAAATCACATAAATAAAATTGACACTACATCTTAATCCAAAATCTTAAAGCATTAGTTGGTAGATCTTTCTCACTTTTTTTTTTTTTTTTTTTGATAAGCAAAAGAAATTTAAATTAAAGGGAATACAAGGGGTACTCCAACCCATTACAAGAGACACATAGACAAAATTAGAATTCAGGCTAGAAAGAAACTATGAGAAATACAAACTCGGGTTACAATACCAACTTGTGTAACTAAAAGAACACCTAGGGACAGAACTATTAATCCACTTCCATGAACGCAATTTAATATTATCCAACACTTCCTTGCAATCTGTAGTACCTTGTTGAAAGATAATGACATTTCGATGAAGCCATAGTGACCAGATAACAGAAACCCAAACCACCCGCAAAAAGTGAGAATGTTTTTTATATATACCAAGATTCGTCCAATATAAATAAAGAGAAATTAAAGAATTTGGAAAGACCACCGCAACCTCCAATGTGAGACTCTTATTCACACTTGAGTTCCAACATTCACCCTCAAGTGTAATTTTTCCACATGGTATGCTCTCTCTCAAGTGGAAGTCTTTTTCACTCACAAGTATTTCCATGATGGTATACTAATATCGTTATTAGCACACATCAATGAGGCATGTCCTCCACAATCTAAGAAGACTTTTGATACAAGGGAATCTCACTTTTGGATTTGCCGCCAATTATATTGTCCAATAAGGGATCACACTATTGGATCCACCGCCAATTTTATTGATTAATCATTTGAGTTAGTTACCAATCATATTATTAGTAAGAAATATTTACCAATTCTGTTGATGACTAATCTTTATCTAAAAATTTGGTTAAATACCTTAATGAGGTCTCTCCTCCCAATCATTTTTTTTTCATACATAAAACTCAAACTCGAGATCTTATTAAAAAATATTGTCTAATATCACTTAAACTAATAATTTGTTGGCATCTAAATTGAAATTTGATCCATATTAAATAGCCTTTGTAACGCCCGATTCTAACGCCTAATTTATATAATAATAATTATATATTTCTTATATAATATTTTTGCAAATATATCGTTAACAATATTTTTTTTATGGATAAAGATAAAGAAACAGAATATTTTGTGAATTTAATACATAACATATCGTTCTAAAGTATTTATAATAATGTATTATTTTACACAATATTTCTTTCTTTCACTTCTATTACAAACTTTACATTGATAATAGAAATAAATTTACAATAACAATTATAATAGATTCATCAAATAGCCTCCACATTCCAATTTCTTCCAAGAAAGACAACAGCTATAATCACTGTAAAATGCTCTGGAATCCCAAGTAGATCCATCTATTTTATAATATATTTAATTTAAAAAAAAAAAAAAAAGAGAGGAGTAAGAACAATATCCAATAAATACAATAATTCAAAAGAATATAAAGAATTATTTATAATCAATATTAAACATATATATATATATATATATAATATATATACAAATCATATATTAGATTTTCATGATGCAATAAAATTTGAATTATACTTGTAGTGACTAGTCAGGATAAATGAGCATCATCATAATATCAACCAATAAAAGGATATTTCACCTTAATCAACAATAGGATATTTCACCTTCATTTCTTACTCATTTAAATCCCCAAGGTCAAACCTCCAGCTACAAATAATTCAAACTTTATCTTCTA